TCCCATAGGAAAAAAAAAAAAAAAAAAGCCTCCCAAAAAAAAAAAAAAAAGAAAGAAAGAAAAAGAAAATCTAACGCAGCAGTAAAGAGTGTGGGCTGGGAGGGATGGAAGGGGAATTGGCCATCCCTGTCTCATTTAGTAGAAGGTGGCAAAGGTCACAGAAACACGTGCATTGGCAACTTCAAAAGACACAGTTTGTCCACGAAATTTTCAAGTATATAATGTGATTCACTTACCCAAGGCCTTGCTTCACAGTCCAAAGTGTTGCTTAAAATCTGCAGAGAAGAGAAGAGAGCACACAGAAATGGGTTTAATGAATGTAAGACTGTCCAGGATAGCCTTACTTCAGGACGCACGTATTTGGTTTTGCTTCGATAGTCGCAGCCTGCCAACTGGTGCGGTTTTACCACAAGCTCGCCAACATTTTCCAGCCCTGCTCTCACAGAAACAACAGGCACCCGAAGCTAGGCAATAATAAAGTATTTACTCTGAGCACCGGGAATACAACTGCATACATTAATCACATATACATATATTTCCTTTCTCAGAGCAAAAACTTCATGCCAGCCAAAGCCACTTGAGTTTGTGGAAAAGAAAAACAAATAAGAAAAACGGTTATTTCAGTATTTATGATACTTTCAGGGGTCAAAAAACGCTGGATGCTATTCAACACCTCCTAAAATATTATCGTTCAAGTCTTCCAATGATTCCGGAGAGCTGATAGCGTCAGGACCTTTATGCCTATTTCACTGGGGATTACCTAGATGCAGGTGTTCAAGTGGCTTGTTGGGGAGGAAAAGCCAGGCAGTATTTCCTGACTGCCGGAAACGCTTAAGACTGAAAACAGAACCTGCAGAACACAACCTGAAATGGTATGCCTATGCATTCCTTGAGAATCGTTGCCCTCTTTTCCAAAGTTTCCTCTCCCTTCTCTCCTGGGTCCAAGGCCAGACAGAGTGCTACGGCTTCTAAGTTTGCACCTCTCTCTGCTGGTGAGATTCAATCGTGTGATTTCGCTGAGAACTGGCCAGGGAACACGAACCCCTTAAGAGATTTAATGAAATATGTACCCTCTCCAAATTGCTCTCTCTAAAACAAAATCATTAAAAGCAGGGGTGTAAGATTTCCATTCATGATCGCTTGTGGGTTGCAAAGCTAAATAACATTTGAATTCTCTTCCCCCCACCCCCTTTTTAAAAAGCATTGCCCTTTAGAGCTATTTTCTGGGGGAAAGGGACCTGGGGCCAGAGAGGTCATCTTAGGCCACATAGATGGTTGGGAGTCCAGCCCTAGGTCTTTTGGCTCAAATTCCTGTCCCTTTTCCAAATCAGCCTACGTGCTGTGGAACATGCAAGACAGCACCCTGATGTGGGTAAATCTCGTTTTTAAGTTCGTTCCCCCACACAAACACTTTGCCCCATTCCAGGCTGCTGAGTCTTACCAAATGAGCCCTCTAAAATGAGAGGTTTCCTTGAGTCTGTAACCAAACACTCTGACATTTCTCTGTGGTCCCAAGTGCCAGTCACTCAATCTCATCGGCTTCAAAGTTAGCGTGTGCATGTGAGTGAGTGGGGATGGGGGAAGAAAACGGGGGAAGGGAGAGGACAGAAAAAGACCGAAGAACCTATCTCTCTTCCTCTCCCCATTCCAACTCAAGATGGGTAAGAAGAGATACACTTAGTCCTAACCAAAGTTCAACGATCATCTCCTTTGAGAAAGAATGCTGGAGACACATGTGAAGTTTATTTATGAACTTTCTCCTCTTCCCTCATGGAAAAGAGCCTCAAATACTTCTGGGATACCTAGCCCGGCCTTTCACCAGCTTCACCCTAGCTTGCTTATGGGTTTCCAGTCACAGACTCTGGAACAAGATTTGCTATTTCACCATGACAAGTGGCAATGACTCATTCCAGATGTGAGCCGGCACCAACGAACAAACAATTCTTTCGTGTCCACTGTCAGCCAGGCCCTTGGGCTTTTCACCTTAAGCTTTTGCCTGGCCTGGACAAAAACAAATGCACACAGGCTGGGTCCACATCCTGGTTAAGTGGCCTCCTCTGTAAGCTAATTCTGTCTTAGGAGGCTCCACGCTGAGAGTGCTGGTAAGGCAGGTGTGTGGGCAACATCGCCCTCCCTCCAGCTGCAGCAGGTGTGGAAGCACAATCCCTGTTGAGTTAGTTTTTTACAGACCACTCAGTCCAATTGTGCCCAGTAGTGGGTCTTATCTTTGAAATAGCTCTGATTTATTGGAAGGAAACCCACACTCCAGGGCTAAATCTTGCCCAAGATCCAAAGCCAATCTCTACCTGAGTCCAGACCAAACCACATCTACTGGTTACGGTCACACCGCCAATGCCACACAAAAGGCACAGTCCACAGAAACCCAGAGGAGGCCTGTAGAGAACTGTCTGCTGCCTGGGCTCAGATCTGGACGCCCCCACCCACCCCGCCAAACCGCAGTAACCACCAAGGGAGAGTTAAGGCGACTTCTCCACCCCCACAGGCTTTCCCTGAGTGTATTCAACTAGGCACCTGGAGAAGGCAAGTCCTCTACAGGAGTTTCCCAACGGGAAGAGAGACAGACCTAAATATATCAATAAAAAGAGAGAAGAGAGAGAGAGAGAGAGAGAGAGAGAAGAAAGGAACTGCAAGACAAAATGAGCGACAGAAGAGAACAACGAGGTGCAGGGCGAAGAGCGAGAGAGCGAGCCAAGACCAGAGACCCCCCAGCCTCTTCCTCCCGCCTCCACCGCTGCGTCCGGCGCCACCCTGCCTCGCACACCCGAGCGTAAACGCCGGCCCTGGGGCCCCGGCAAAGCTGCGCGGACGTGCCCACCCCCACGACACGTACCTGTCTTCCAGGGACCGCCCACCCCCGGGCGATCGGCGGGCACCGTCGCCCATTCGCCTCGAAGCCCCCGCAGACGCGGCGGAAGCCCCGCGGTATAACCGTAGTGGCTCTTAATTTAGTTCCATTGAAATAAAACTTTTCGTGCACCTCGGTAGCTAACATTGTCTGTATGCCTTTTTTTTTTTCCTGTTACGCCGTCAAGGCAGGGGGCAGTGAGGGGAATGGCACAGCCCTCTCATTCCCGGAACGGCGCCGATCTCCGCTCTGCGGATTTCAGAGAACGCGCTGCCTATCGCCGACTCCAACCAGAAGTAACTTTCCAGGAAGCTGCCGGCCCCCGGCGGCCGCCAGGATCGCAGCCTGCCCCGCGCCGGCCGCCGGGGATTCACCAGGGAGGGAGGGGGCGGCCCGGGAAGGCTCGCAGAGAACACGACAAACTTTCCCCTAGATCCCTCGTCGGCGCCAAGGCCGGGACACTCGGTTCACCTAGTCTGACCTCTCCTCACAGCATATAAATGGGGAGGAAAGTCAGACCAGGAGGGAGCCAGGTCCAGAACCCAGAAGTTGGGATTTGCCATTTGGGCGATGGTTCGCCTGGTGTGTCGTTTCTTACTCCCCATTTTTTGGGGGGGAGAGGGATGGTTCTTGCACCTCCCCCACCTCTATGTAAGGGAGTGGTTAGACGAAACGCCCAGTCCAAAGAGATGGGAGTCCCAAAGGCCGAGGGTCTCCATCCTGCACATCTCAACCTACTTGGAGGAAAACTAAACCGAAAGCCCCTTCCGCCTACGCTGGCACGAAGGGGAACTCAGCTAGGCTCGGTTTCCGTCCCACGTCTTAAGAATAGGAGCTGCCAGGCCGAACCTGGCCAGGTTTCGGGATTTCCAAATCCAATTTCCCCGAAACCATAGAGACTTGGTCAGATCTCTGCGCACAGGCCCGGGCGCCGAGCGCAACGCGCTCACTGGAGCGCTCCAAAATTGCCTCGCTTTCCCGTGGCCTGGCTGAGAATCGGAAGCCCTGGGTGGCATCCCCTATAGTCCTCAGTACTGTGGCTGGGGAGGCGCTTTCAGAGAATTGCGGCCAGGGGGTTGGGGGCTGGGGGGAGTCGCTGAGATGCAGCTTCACAGGCCAGTCCCGGCCTAAACCGAGCGGGTGGTGTCACGTTGCGCCGCGCAAGCCGTCCGCGGCGGAGGCGGGGTCAGAGTAGGTCTGCAAAGCTTGGGCCTCTTTGGCCTCAAAATTCTACTTGGAGGCTTATTTTTTTTAATCCCTTTTCCCGGTGGGATAAAGACAAAAGGGAAAGGTGAAATTTAATATGGATGGGGATGAGAATCTAGGAAGTTGGGATGAAGAAAACGCACTTATTGGAAACTCGGAGTTCCGTGGTTCCGGGAGCTCAAACCTAACCGTGTTTTTAGCGCTGCCTAACGCTAGGGTGCGCCCTCCATCAAGGCTCGCAAGCGGCAATCCCGTTCTCGCCCCGCCCTCCTTCCTATTGACCTACTTTGGCCAGAGTCTTCCGATTTGAAGAACAAGGGCCCTCAGCCCTTCCCCCTCCTCTAACCAGGCTGGCCTTTGGATTATTGGTAATCTAATAACTCCAATAACTCGCCAGAAACTCCAGAGGGGAATCTGAAAATGCAAAGCACTATTTAGGGATAAGGACAAGGAATTTTAATAAGGCTAGAGCTGCCGCAGTGAAACCCGCATCAGGGCTCCCGCCGGAACGCTCCCTCTCCCAGCGGCGTCTCTCCACGAACCAGCTGCTCTGCTTTAGTCAGCCGGGTCGGGCAGTTGCGGGTGGGGTCAAACCGCCGAGCTGTTTTTGTTTGGGGTGGGGGGACACTCTTCGCAGTCTTGGCTAGGGGGCTAAGGAACGCTGGGGCGATGACAGTAGATTAAAGCTAAATTGATAAAGCGATAGCCTCAGGAGCCGCTTTGGGTGACGGAGGTGTTCGGGGACATTATGTCCTGACTTTCATTTCTATCACGTTTCCTGCCAAAAGCGCTCTTGCGAGCCTGCAAGCTTCTAGGAAATGCAATAAAATAGAGGGATGTGTTTTATCATCAGGATCTGAAGAGTTGCAGAAGGGACGCTCCCCATGCGCCTGGGTCGAGACATCCTTCCAGAAGGGCCCGCAGACGATACCAGCAAATCAAGTCCCAGGGCGGAGATCTCTCGGCCATCCTGGCTGAACTGGGCTTGGCCTTTGCAAAAAGGCTGGCGGGGGAGGGGAGAGGCATGATCTCCCCAAACAAACAATGCTCCAAAAATCCGATCGGGATAGAAGTCAGCCAAGGTCTTTATTCACGTTAATGAAGATGGAAGGCACTAACTGTCCTTGGAAAGCGATGACTCAAACTTGACCGCGCTTCTAACACGTCCCCAGATTCATTTCCAACCCGAACAGAGGCGCGTTTCACCGACGCGGCCTCCGACAGCTCCTGCAGTGGGAGAGGCTGAACTCGATCCCAGCGGACCTGGGCGGGGAGACAGCGGCGTCTGCAGCGGGTGAAGGCTCCGGGCGCCGCTAGGGGCCGCCAGCAGACCGGCGCGCGCTTGCCATCTTAAGTCAGAGCTCAGAGGAAGAAACTTTTAACTGAGAACTGAGTGGCATCAATTCTGCGAGGATTATGCTCTCCCTGTCCATTTGACACACACCTGGTTTCTCGCCAGATCACTAAGCAAAGGATGGAAGAGGAAGACGTAATTTCTGGATCCAAACGTGAGCCTGGGCGCCACAAGGCATGTTCCCAGCAAGAATGCAGGCCTTAACCACCCAAGGCACCTGCATAAGGCCCCTCCGCTTTGTAAACCTGCCCGCCCCAACCCCTCGGCGCCACAGTAGGCTTTATATGTCTTTTACCAGAAATCTTAGGCTGGACGTTCTAAAGAAATTCTTCCAGGACTACTGGAGAAGTGCCTGGAACGTGCATGGGCGACTACCATAGGTTTCACTCATGGCTCTAATTGCTCCTCCATTCTCTTACACACACTGCAACTGAGTTGAGATAACCCACCTTTGGCTTTCAATCACTGACCTGGAATTAGAGCTTAAAATCTGTCCAGTAAGGTCACTAACCACTAATAGGCCTCTTTGTCCAACCTATCGCCTCAAGTGTTTTAAGTCCTAAAGCCCCTGAGCTTCTAGGTGGCATTCTTCCACTACCGACTTCCTCCGGGGAAGGGACAGAGTTAAGGCGCTGGTGTGTTCAAGCAGGGTTATTTTATGGTTTCTCTTATCTGAGATAGGTGCCAGTGACTGAGAAATCTGAGACCCTGGGAACACCCGGGGTCCTTGAAATTTTCAGCAGTCTTGCCAGAACTTTGAAGGTCGGACGCTATTCCCTTGGAAGGTACCCTCCCTCTGTCAGTCTTGGCACCTGGTCAGGATACCCACCCCACCACCACCACCACCACCACCACCACCACCACCGAAGGTGAAACAGCTGGCCCACTGCCCAGAGAGGGAAACTCGACAAAAACCCACCACTAGGTGGCGGACTTAGTCCGTCCGAGAATCACCCTGAGGCCACAGCTCTTCACATCCGATTCAAACCCTTCCCCCCTTTATTTTTATTTTCTGTTGTTGGGGATGGGGGCGTGGTTGCCTCCAAAACCCAAGCTGGAAAACATTTAATTTAGTGAATGTAATTCCGTTCTTCCCGATGCTCACGCCTCTAGCAACCACAACGCGGTATCTGGAGCTGTGTTCGTGAATCATACGTTGATTTTTTTTTTTTTCTCGAAAAGCTGCAATGTACTGGGAAGGAAAAGAAAGCGTGCACTTGTCTTCTAAAAGAATGGCACTCAGCAGTATTACCAAGAGGCTTGCCAAACACTGGCCGGCCAGCAAAGAAAATCGAGCATAAGCTCCTAATCCTCACGAAATAAAGGGCCCCTGGGGGCCACGGCTGGGTCCTACTCAAGCTTACTGCGCACTGCAAAGCCGCAGGGTAGGGGATGAGTATGATATTTTGGTTGCTGGTTTCAAAGTGGGCCGCGGGGCGGTTGAGAGGAGTCGCTCCTGATCCAGCTAGGGCGCAGAGGCACCGACCACCCCTGCTACTACAGAGCGCCCTCGCTGGGCTCGCTGCGGCGGGCGGCGTTCTCACTTGTTGCGCAGTGCAGGAAGCCCGCACGCGCCTTGCTACTTTGACTCCTGGAGGGCTACGGTCCAGCCTACCACCGCCGCACACACCTCTCCCACCCACAGACCGCTCTCCACCACCAGCACACCCCCTACATACACCGCCGCCGCCGGCAAAAGTACAGTACTTCCAGCCCCAGGGAAACATTCCGTATCTCGAGTATGCCGGACAGGCAGCGCAACTTAGGTGCCCTGAGACGTCAAGCCCAAGTGAAAACAAAGGTTACCTCCACCTGGAAACGACTTAGAGCCAACCGGACACCCCATCTACCCATCCCCATCCTAGCTGAAAGGGACATTCTCTTCCCCCATTTGAGTGATCAACTGAAAAATTCTTTTGTAAAAAGTAGCTTTATCTTCTCCTATCAAAAAAAACTTTTTCCAAAAAAAAAAAATTAAATGCTTCATAAGGTCATTTCATAGTATTTTGCAAATATCTGACTTGTGCCAATAGTTTCATCCATCCAGGGGTGGCGCTGCCGCACCACCTTTTCTGAATCTTGAAGTTTGTCACAACCGAGTGGGTTGTGAGTGTGGCTACCCCACCGGGGAGAGAGGGAAGGAAGGATTTTGACATCCAGTCATGGCTACCATTTACTCAACCAATAACTGGAACTCTTCAAGGGTTCAGCAAAGGACAGCTTTAAGAACTTAAGAGTCCTATCCCTGTTCACAGAACTCAGAATAAATTAGTCTTTCCAAGAATGCATGGGGGTAAAACCCAGCAGGAAAGGAAAAGGACAGTAAGAGAACTCCCACTTTTCTGGGCTGTCTTCTCCTTCAGGTCTAGCCTGTCACTTTTAAAATCAGCCAACACTTCAACCTGCAGCATTGGAAAGTCTTCCAAATAGGACCCTGAAGTTCCAATAGGAAACTTCAATTTATTGGGGGGGGGGCACCTCCCACCTACAAGTTTCAAAGACTCAACTGCAGCCATTTTGCTAAAGGAATGCCTGTCTCCTGATGGTTTCTCTTTATTTCCTCCTCCTCCAGAGACGAATACATTTTCTTCTTTTGGAAAAAAGAAAGCATGTATTTTAAAGCTAGAATGTGTTTTCACCTCTCTCCTTGGAGCTCATGTTTGCTACCTCCAGGAACAGCGTGTGGACTAGGGCCAGATGAACTTCAACTTGGGCTGCAGATTTACGAGGTTCTGTTCCAGTGCCAAAGGCTCTTGGTAGTAAATAGTGAGCAAAATAGATACCTGTCTTCTGATGAATCTGGCCTGCTCCCCTCTTATTTTTGCTAAGTTATTTATTAAAACCACACACACCTTGCAAAGAAAAAGGGAAACTGGCAGTCTCTGTGGAGGAAGCCAGGGGGGGGGGCATGCTCAGAGCCACAAACTGTATTTCTAAACAGCCCTTTCCCTGGTTGCCTCTCTCCTGCCCTGCTGCCTTCCCCCGAAAAAAAAAAAATTTAGTGACACTTTCCAAAACAAAACAAAACAAAAGTGAAACGTTACAAGATACTCCTCCTGGAAACTATATACCAGTTGAAAAAATATCACAAAGAATGAATCAGTTGGGGGGGGCGTTCTCTGAGGTGGTCAGACCCACTAACAGATTTGGACTTTCAGCACCTGGCTTGGGGTCATTCCGCCGCTCGACTGTCAGAACCTCTAAGATCAAGTCTTAACCCACCATTGCGGGAGGGAGCACAATACAGAGCGTCTTTGATCCTTTTTTTTGGTTTGTTTAATCGGACGCGTTGTGTTCTTTTTTTTTTTTTTTTCCATGGGAGTGCGGGCTTTAAAACTCATTATTACAACACTAGTTCCATTTTTCGCCAATAACACGGCATCATAATGCAACGCAACCCACAGTTCCCAAGACGTTTACCCAGGTCACTACATCCGGCAGCAGGGTGGCCCCTCGCTCCTGCTGCCCCCGAAAGAGCAGCTGATTTCCAAGCCTCCAAGTCCCTTCCCATTCCCGCCCCGCGCCGCCGCCGCCGCCGCCTTGCCCCATTTCTACTCCCTAGAGGAGAGCCACAGGTTGCAAATCCAACCAACCTCGCAATCTATTTCTCCAGAATCACTCACAAAGATCTCCCTTTCGCTCCCGAGCCCGCTCCTCCCGCGCGGGGTCCCCAAACCAGAGCCACAAAAATGCCCTTCTCTCCTCCCGGATCTTGCACGAAAGGGACGCGGGCTGGGGCTGTTTGTCTTTCCCCCAGTCAGTGTAAGGACTTCGGGAGCTGAAGCCTGGCGTCCGCTATGCTCGGGCTCGCAGCCGCCTTTGCACAGAGCTTGCACCAGGAGAAAAATAAAATTTAGGAACGGGAGGGAACAGCCATTGAGAGCCAACACAGAGTCACGCAGCGCCCAAAATACAAACACCGGGTCCGCCAAAGAATCCCGCCGCCTTCTCGCTCTCCTGGGCTGTCCTGTCAAGATTCCCTGAATCCCCGCAGGCTGAAAGGCACCGCAGGTGCAAACGCGCACTTCTTTCTCAGCCACCCCCTGTCCCGCCATCAGCCTCTCCCCCGAGGATGGGTAGACAGCGCGCAGGGGTTCCCGACTGTCTCCACTACAACCAAGAAAGAATAATTTTCAAAGTATTCAACATCCCCGCCCCCATGCCAGCTAAACCTCTCCAAAACACAGGAGAAGGGGACACCACAACGTTCGCCTCTCGTCGGGAAGATCAAGGCTCTGGAAGGAATACTAGACACTACACTTCATCTGAGTTTGCGACCCTCCCCCCAAAAAAGAAAGGGAAAAGAAAAAAAGACCAGGGAGTTCGCTTGCATTTTTTTTCCTCCCAAATCTCGGCTCGGCTCGAAGACTGGGAATCTAAAGAACCGAGGCCAGTGGAAAGGAGCCAACGGGGCGAGCGAGCGAGCGGACAGCCTCCCTCCCTCCTCCCGGAGTTACCCAGAAGGACGGGAGAGGGGAAGGAAGGAGAGACGAGGGAACGGAGGAGGGAGGGAGGAAAGGGGACGCAGAGCGAGAGCGAGAGCGAGGAAGGCAGTTTGCAAGCGAGAAAAGAGGGAAAAACACAGCCGCACGAATCCAGCGAGATCACAAGCCGAACGCAAGCAGCAGCAGAAAGAGCGAGAGCGCGAGCGCGCGTCCTCCCCGCGGTCTGGAGCCAGACAGCCCCCAGACTTGCCCGAGTCACCCCCCAAACACTGTCTCGTCCTCTCTGCTCCGGCCGCCCCCTAACTCCCCTCCTTCCTCTCCTCCACCTCCTTTTCAAAAACCAAAACAACACAAGGGAGGGTGGTAAAAGCCTCCCCAAACCGGCCGATTCACTCCAAGACAACAACAAAAAAAAATAAGAAATACATTTTTAAAAAAATCTATATCCTAGAATGGGAGAGACGTGGGACTAATCTTCGGCATTTATTTTAACACCTGACAGCTAGAATAAATAAATATATACATTTATATCAATAGATACACATAGGAAACTTGGAGCCAAAGCATTTGGCAAGAGCGGAAAAAAAAAGAATTAAAAGGTAAAATAATGATCATGAG